ATGACTCAGATTGTATGTGCACTGACATAAAGATGAACCATGTCTAAAAGAAAGCAAGAAATAACCCTGCACCAGGGAGGATATTAAACGAGAATCTTTCCTGTGGTGCAACTTCTGCAGATTTTAGAGTCTTTTATAAGGAATGATTGGATGTTGGGAGTTTAAAAACCTCTTCTCTTTGGCAGCTGCTTCTTTAGCTCCTCCTAACCCGAGGCGATGGAAATGCCAGAGTGATGCCTGGCCGTTCTCCTGGGCTTTGGGATGAAAATCCTGTTTAATCTCCACAATAACATTCCCTGGGGTTATTTATTCAGGAATGTTAATGTGCTTAGCATCCACTGGCCCCTGTGGCCTCTGACACGGGCTCCTCCAGGCTTTTCTATCAAGCATTCGATCAGGCACAGCACAAGCTCTTTGGTGCCGCTGCCATCTGTTTAAACCACAAAGATTGATGTAACAGGAATCTATTGATGACCCTGCAGACAGACTGCATAGGCTACCTGTTTGTGCAAAAGCCTGCCTTAGCGCATTCCTCGTCTCCATCTCTGTTTATGTTTTACCTCAGTTTGACATTGCAATATGCATTTTGGCAGTTGGATGTGTTTTAATGTTTGCAAGCCTTTCAGTCGAAATTGATGTACTTGTTATTATGCCTCTCACACAATGTAAATACTTATTTTGTGTTTTCTCAGCTCCGGGATCTTTACTTTATGTCATGATTTGAATAAACATAGTACAATTACAGGATGTAAATGGTCTTCTCCATACATATCAGAGCCATTACTTTTACTGCCTCATTTAATCTCCCTAGGTTCCTCCACAGAAACAGATGCACAGAGCAGCATGATCACCTAACTAAAAATTCATGAGCAGCAGGACTTATTAACTGTTTCATGTGTTATTTGGTGCATTTATGCATTTTGTAGATGCTGTATGTCAGTTAGATTCTCAATGGAAAAGTGTGAAATATGGTTTCTTTCCAAGTGTTAGATGACAAGATACACTCCTGTGTGAAGCTACCACCAGCAGCCGGTTAGCATAGCTTAGCTTAGCATAAAGACTGTAAGGTGGAAACAGCTAGCCTGGCTCTGTCTGACAGCAACAAATTCCACCTACCAGAACCTCTAAAGCTCACTAATTAACTTGTTATATATGATTTTTTTATTTTTGAAGGCAGGTAAAGTAATCCCCCCACTGTGGAACTCCATGGTATTCTCACATTTCCTGTATTATACATCTGATTTAAATGTTTCCACCCTTGAGAGCCTATTTTTCATGAGTGAGCATTTTCTAGTCTAATTGTGCTGCTAATATCTAAATGTTCCCTCCAGCTCTGATTGGCTTTATTTAAGTGTGAGGACCTGCCAGAGACCATTTGAACCTGGACAATTTCCTGGCCCAGTGGCCTCATTTATGATGCTGTTTTTGTGACCCTCCAGTCACTGCATTCATAAACACATGCCACATGTCATACCAAACACTTCAGGCCTATCTACAGGGAAGTGAGGCTGCAACATAAAGACATTTTTAATCCTCTTTTACAATTAACATGTGCTCTAGGTGTCTGATGTATGCAGTCCACATTAGGGAATGTGGTTTTAAGTCAGTTTCTCTGCTTTTCATGTGTTTCAGGTCTGGCAAATATTTAGGGCAGCTCCCCTATTAAACTCTATGGCTTATGATAAATCACAGTTAATTGCACTGGCAGGTGTTATAAAAGCTTATCTGGCCATAACACCAGCCTTTCTGTCATGACCCACAGACTGACGCTTGCTATTTTTCATTGTTTTTTCCCCCGTTTTCCTGTCTCCCAGTCATGTAATCAGCCATCATTGCATCTACCTACTGCTTATTATCTCTCAGTCCAGTGTCCTACATAAATACGTCTCTCTGTGAGTGCCAGTGCTTCAGCTCACCTATGTGGCATCTCACCTTCACTCCTGCAACCCAGCCAGCTCCTTCCTTGTCTTTCCATGCTTTACCTTTCCTGCACCCAGTAACCTGTCCTTTGTCAATAAACTTTTTTTGTGTTCCACTCCCGGTGTGTGTTTGTGTACATTGGGTCCACTGCCAGTACCCAGTCGTGACACTTTCAGTGATGTCCACATTTTGGCCATTTTTAATGTTTATTACTTCCCTAAAACTGGAAGTCAAAGGCCCTGATTCTTAAAAAAACTATTTATTTATGTGAGTAGTATTTTACTTAATGTAATACTGGCCTAATGGTCACTCTGAGCTACACTGAAAACACTAGCACAAACATGGATGATATTTAACAGCTCTCACTGGGGTAACAGTAACTAGACTTCAATTTCCACTCCATCTTCCCACTTGCTTTTCATTCCAAGGAAATTACAAGAATGCTGTGTCAAGTATGACAAATTTGCTTTCAATATTATGCTTGTCTGATGAAATTGTAGGATATGTTCACAGCTAGTGAGCATATTTGTCAAGATATTTGGACAATAATGGCTGAAACTCTCCTATAAAACTTCAAAATTGCATGAGATGACCTCAGTGCTAACTTGGGCTCAGTTTTCAGGGTTGCTTTGGGTTTGACAACCTCATCTGTGAAATTAGATCTGCAGTCTTAAGCAAACAGACCTAATGACTGTTATCCTGAAGGTGCAAAAATCAGGCCTCTGAGAATGCCTTCATGCTTTGTGGTATTGTCTGCTGCCATCTACAGGCCTCTTCAGAGAAAACAAGCAATTTGTATTAAGATGAGTGAGCCTCGCCGCCCCCCAAAAAGAAACACACTGATAATCCATAACCACATCACAGGATTAAGTTATAGCTAAACATCAGACAGTGTGACAGGTGGCATAGATGTCCCCTCTTTCATAAAGACATTGATGCTGTACACTGCAACAGACAGCTAATGTGGAAAGGATATTAATATTTTGTATTGTGTCCATTAGAATAGTGTTTTAATCCACAAACAGTACTGCCTGGTTTTCAGCACAATGTTGACATACTTCTGTTTAAAATATGGCAAACAACAGATTTTCACCATTAAAATTCCTGTGTGTCATTAAAAGACAAGACAAAGGACAGTTTTGGCATTCTGTTTGATCAGAGATTTAAAAATACATTTGCGTGAAGGCAATAATCTATAACAATAAGTAACAAGATTCCTTTTGAAATGTGCAAAGAAAAATATTTTAAAGTACATATGTGCGTTTCAAACTAATCCTTACACTTATTTCTTCAATACTCACCTGGAACGTGCCAACAGTGTTGTACTGGTGGCCACAGAGCAGCTCCAGCAAAATCAACCATGCCATTTTGTTGCAACATGGAGATTTAAGAGTAAAAGTGATTGAAATTTATGAGCCTCTTATCTGTGGAAAACACGTGTGAGATGATGCTTTATTCTTTAAACCAGTACTACCAGTACTCGAGGCGCTTCAGGAGTAGGAATGGGTTGTCTTCTCACTGGAGGGTTGATGGCTCGATTCCCAGCTTCTTCAATCAGTCCACGTGTCAAATCAAATCAAATCAAATCAAATTTTATTTGTATAGCGCCAAATCACAACAAAAGTCATCTCAGGACACTTTACAAAGTAAGGTCTAGACCTTACTGTTATCAATATTATTACATAGGGAAAACCCAACAAATCCCCCTTGAGCAAGACACTGAACCCCAAGTTGTTCCTGGTGTCTGTTCCACTGCTGTGTGTTTGTGAGTGCAAATGGGTGAATGAGAAAATAGTGTGAAAGCGCTTTGACTGTGCTTAGATCTATAGAAAAGCACTATACAATTCAATTTGCTGCTCTAAAACACAATTCTTCCACCTCCTTCATAAATTTATACTTTGTTTTAGTTCATTCATTCATTCATTTTCTACCGCTTAGTCCCTGAACGGGGTCACGGGTGGGGCCGGAGCCAATCCCGGCCGGCAATCGGGCGAAGGCGGGGTACACCCTGGACAGGTCGCCAATCCATCGCAGGGCCTTTGTTTTAGTTGTTATCTTCTATTTGTTCATATTTTAACAAATTTGCTTGTTTGCAAAAACTTGTACTTCTGTCTCATTGTCATTTTTCTATATAGTACTGTATGTACTGTTTTTAAACAATTCGACAGTTTTGAACAACCACTCTCCTGGCCACAGCTGTGTATTTCTTTGTGTATGAGTGACATTACATAATTATAGATGTTAATTAGATTGGTTCTAAAGCAGGTGACAGTGGTAGATCTTCATGATTTTACCTGACTGTTCCTCATGGACATGCTTTATCTCCCTCCGCAGCGAGCAGTGATAAAACAAAACTGTTACAAGAACAATAAACTGTTTTCCTCTGAGGTCTGTAAACTGGTTTACCTTTCCTCATGTCACCATTACTTCACCAGGTTGTGGGTTCACATTCAAGCAATACAACTGGTATTTAACATTATAGACAGGATTTAATCTCAATTATGAGGAAACGGGAAACCTCTGTCACTGCTGCACCGATTCTAACGGGCATTAATATGGGGCAGTGAAAGGCAGATACAAATAAATAATCTATTTCAGTTTTGTTCACATTTGGCCCAATGCTGTGTGACTAAAAGTGGGCTGTGTGCAGCTACGACTAGTCAAAGTAATCAATCATCAGGTGATTTATATTACAGACCGGTGCATGCAGGTGTCACAGAAGCATCTCTATGTCACTGCTGCTATGAAACCCATTGTTTAAGGACATACCAAAGAGCATTTCTACTTTCCAGCATCATGTTCTGTTCTACATACCATCAATACCTCTGTAGTCTGAATGGTGACAGCAGTCAGCAGGACAGATGATTTGCTGGTTCACACTTCCAGCTTTCTTGCAGCTCCAGTTTGTCATTAATGATCGTGGAGTGTTCAGGAACAATACGTGTGGGCTCTGTAAGTGTGTGATTTTTGCGCTGGGGGTCGAATTTCGCACAGTGGAAGTTGTAAAGGTGAGGTGACCTGACGCACATTCATATATATAGTCAGAGCCTGCGATCGGAAGTTTTTGACCGCACGGTGGGATGGCAGAGGAAATCCTCAACAATTCGTTTCCAGATCTGAAAGAGCTGGAAAATAAGGTTGGCAGGAAAACACCCCAGAGTCTTGTGATTTGGATGAAGGATGCTGCAGGATGTGAAGACAGATGGAAATTGGATGTGGTCGACAGGGGACACCACAGCTCTGCCTTGAGCGACAGCTTGTCTGACAAAATCAACAACTTAAAACAGGAGATGGTAAAATGTTTCATATATACAGCGTACATGTATAAAGTGTACTCAGTAGGCTAATGAATGTTTAACTGTGAAACAGGTCTTCTGTATGTTTATGCATATTTCTAAATGGACAGTTTCCTCTGTTTTGTTGTTCTCCAGTGAATCTTTCCGTGTTTAGACCACGCCAAAACCTGCACGACTTGTTTCAGTAACTACTGCTCTCTTTGTTCTAATGATGTGTTTCTCTCTGAACAGTAGAAACACTGACTGCCATTCTGAGCTGCTTTCCACCACACCCCTCACTTGTCGTGTCTGTCATTTTATACATTCTGACTGGATTCCTCTGCTCATAACCAACTTACCTCAGCTCCTCCCCAATTCTTCTCATGCCTGCTGCTTTTGTCTTGTGCCTTCTGCTATTGATTTGATTTGATTTATTCTTTCAAACATGTAACAACAGTCAATATGTCAACACACATAATTCCACACATATCCACAAGTATATTATCAATTTGCTTATACCTAGTACATGCTTGAACGGAGTAGGAAGAAGTCAGACTTATCTAGTCCTACCCCCTAACATCATCTTATCATCATTGGTTTGCAAGCAGTATTACTACATGGATACATATTCTACATCCACACTCCCATCTGATTAATCATTAAGCCTGTTCTTGCCCATATCTTGATTGACACATACCTTTATATCTGCGTTTGAACTCGTCAATTCTATTACTATTTTTTTAGTCCACACTTAAATTATTCCATAGTTTTACCCCACTTATAGAAATACAAAATCTTTTTTTAGTTGTACGTATAGCATGAATTTTTAGATTTAACTGACCCCTTAAATTGTATCCCCCTTCCCTCATTGGTGTGATCCCTATATCCCATCTTATGCACAATTCTTATCGCTCTTTTTTGTAATATATACAATGGTTGAAGTGAGCTTTTGTATGTGTTTCCCCAGTTTTCAACGCCATACTCTAAGTATGGTAAAATCAATGAAGAATACAAAATACGTAGTGCTTTTCTGTCCAAAATATGTCTAACCCTTGCCAATATCAATATGTTTTTTGCTATTTTATGCTGAATATATCTGATATGATATTTCCAGGTGAATTTATCATCAACTGACTATTGTAGCTCAATGAGCATGTAAGCAGGGGCCTTACTACTGGGGCAACACAGTGAGCTTGGTCCAAAGGGCCCCTGAGAGAGGTTTAGTGCATCTATAGCATTCACGCATATACCCATCTCTCAGCTCTCACACATACACACACACACCTGTTCCCTTAGTTGTATCTGTATCATGTTTATCTAACACCACATTATTCATGCAGAGGTGGCTGAGGTCTGCTGATGTGAGAATTCTGTGCCAGCTGGTTGCCGTACACGAGGGCATCGAGGCCATGCGTTGGATGATGGAGAACAGGGGAGTCTTTGCCAGCCGAGGCAGCAGCTTAACAGACAGTCTGAGCAGCCTGGTGACCGTGGAGGGACATAGCCCCATGATGTCTCCCTGCAGGTAGTTATTATCTGTCATATTGTCTTTAGGACACTTACTCCTTTTGACAATTTGCACATATATCAGACGTATGAATTAAATGTATGAAAGACTGCATTAAGTAATATAATGACTTAACCAAAATATCACTTTAGTGGAGGTGAGTTTTTATTTTCAATAGGGGCTTTTCATTGCAGAAAGTAGGTCTACATGTCCAGATAAGAGACACATAAATGGAAAGGTATTCTAAATTTAACCAAGCTGGTTTTATCTTACATTAACAGTCTTTTTTATTCATCATTGTCAATAAATATATGACAATGATTTTTCTGGATAAAATATGTACTTTTCATATGGCATACTGCTTTAAGAATACGCAGGTCAGCAGTCAGGTAAAACTCTTGAACTTTAACTGAGAATGTTCTAATATCATTGCAAATTTGTAATAAGAATGTTTCCAACTTTTTTTGAAACTAGAATTCAGTGCAGTGTACATTCAACACAATTAGCTGACACTGCATTCTCTCAAACCTGAAAAAACTTAGTATCAGTAAACATACTTCACTGTAAACATTTGTGTGCTAACCCGTGATTCTGAATTAATCGCAAATATCTAGGTTTCTAGCTTAATCCTGCTAGGAAGTGTTTCCTTCAGTTTCATGCTCTAACTGTACTCCATATATGGAGTATTGTTCTATTGCTCCCACAGTCCGACCTGCTCTTTGCCTGAAACCACTGGCGAGGAATCAGAAGATCAACTGCCACACACCGATGATGCTAAATCAGACCACAAGAGCTGTTTTAACACTTTGACCCTCAAGTCTACTGAAGCAAGGCCTCCTAGTGCTTCTAGTTCCAATTCTGAAGCCAGTCATTCCATGCATGCCAGACATTCTGATTCGGTTGATGCCAGAGTACAAGAGTCACAACCACAGGATATGGATGGAAGTGTGTCCATCATCAGAAGAGCTCTGTTCCGATCTAGCAGGGCAAGAAGAGAGGTGAAAGCAGACGCTGGTAGTTTTAATGTCACTAAACAGTCGGAAAAGACAAAGAACCAGAGTTTCAAAGACCCTCAGAAGAGCACAGTGGATGAAAATGAGAGCACATCCAGTGGAGAGAAGGTTTTGCTGGGCTATGATGCTCAGTGGTGCTGGGTGGAGTCACAGGATGATGTGTTGTTTGTATGATCTTCTGTAAGCATAACCAAAAGGGTCTGAAGTTACTCCTCCTGTAACTGCCAGTAATTCAGTGGGATGCAAAAAGCATTTTGTGTCATTAGAATGAGAATGATGCTTAAACATGTCGCTGTTAGATTGCTCACTCACTGTCATTTTATAGGATGTACAGTTTTTTTAAACTAACATTGTGTATTTTATGAGTTAAAAAAACACCTAAATCAGGCAAGTATTGCATTTAAAAAAAAAAAAATGATAGAAACTTCCTGCTGTGGCTGGAAAATGTTCTGAAGACTGGGGACTTGGTTTTTAGGATGACATATCGTATATGGATGTTAATTAAGAACTTTTCTTCTTCATTGTATTGTATAAAAGAAAATGTGATCATTGATAAGTATAAACATTTATTTTTGTGTGTGCTTATTTTCTCATATTTTGAAACAAGTGATTTTACATAGCTATGAGCCAACAAAATATGGTTGGGATTTTTAAGATGATGCCATTGTTCTTTTAAATTATTATGCAATGATGAGCCTAATATACAGTATATTTCAGTAACAAATAAGACAAAAAGCCTTTCCTGATGCTCTTGCTTGTCTCTCAATGCATAACAGCAGAAAATTGTGAATACACTGAATGAATGTTTGTAAAGGTGAAATGTACAGATCAATGTCTTTCACTACTTTTTGACTAACTTGTTTTCTTTACCCCACATTTATTCACAGCAGCAACAGTGTACAGTATATGGGATTAACCAAGCAACACTCAGTGCAGTGATGTATCTTGTTTTTCCATTATGCCTTAGCAGACAGCAACTGAGCCCTATGGCACAGAGGAGAATAATAGGCTAATGAAACGCTAAGGATGCGGACCTCCGTAAAACTCAAGTGAAGAAGAAGAAGAAAGTCTTTTGGGCAGAAACTGTAAGACAGCATATAAAATTATTATTAGTTATTTGACAGATACAGGATTTTTCGATAGGATTCAGTAGTTTATGCAGTTCTAAGAACCCCTTTTTAATTTCCCCCTGCTCTATTACCAGCCCAGCAGGTGGCGGTAATGAACCTTAAGTTGTCTTGTACACCGCCAATAAACATTATAAGATGAGGAAGAGGGAGGAGGAAGAAGAAGGAGGATACATAGCGGTTTCCTGGTAGTGATAGATTACATTGGTGTGCAAATACGGGTGGTTAAAAAGAAGATGTAATGGTTAACGAAGTTGGAAAGGAAACATGGAGGTTTGTCTTTTACGTCGTCTCCTTTTCGTCGCCTTGATAGCTTGGGCGTTAGGAGACGGTAAGTGTTTCCGACGTATGTTTGCTAACTGGGTTGTTACAGTAGTTTGTTACCTGAATGCCAGTTGCTCAATCTGTGCTCTGTAAATATGGTCTCACAATAGAGTTAGGTTCACATGCAGATTATTAATGAGGTTCGGTTTTATTAACACCACGTTTATAGAGAGTTATGAAGGGGACAACATTTGGTTTATTAGCTTGGTAAAAGTCGACTGTTTCAACGTTTAGTATTTGTAGCCCTGTATTATCATTCGGTCTTCTTTCTTAAGTTATTGGGTGTCAGTTTGTCAGATGTGCTGTAGCGTTATACTTTCAAATCTCCACATCTGCCTGGGTGTTTTTAAGGTATGTTTTCATTATTACTTGACCCATTACATGCGTTTTCAGTCATCCACTGTACCATTATCATATTGTGATCATACTTAGATTGGTAATAATAGGCCACAGTTTTAGCACACTGTGATAAAACTCTGTCTTTGTATGTGGGAAAATTATAATAATTTGTCATTTTATGAGAAAACAGTTGATCCAAAAAGGAGTTGGCAGAATATAACAACTGTTAGCTCAATCCTAGTTTCTATATGTTTAGTCGAAGAATAATCCTTGGGCCATTACACTGAGGGATAGACAAAAATTAGACAAACAGAATGAGTCAAATTTTACTCACTTATTAGAATAAATATCTTTATGCAATTGATAACAAGGAGTTTAAAGGAAATCATTTTAATGTGATTTTATTTACTACTGCTATATTTTCATACAGTGAAACCCTTATGCCCCACAGATGATCAGGTGACGTTTGTATCAGAGCTCTCGTCCAAACCAGCACAGAAGTTGTCAAAGTACGGGTGGTACGGCAACGTACGACTGCAGAGGTTTCATGTGCCGGAGGAGACTGCCATTGCTCGCTGGCTCTTCTCCATCACCAAGGGCCACAGCTTCCACTGTGGACAGCACAACGTCACCATGTAAGCCATTAATTTCTATCTCACCACCGTCCTCCACTGCTTTATATTTCTGGCCTCTTCTGCTATGTTGATTGGTCTTTTTTGTTTAATGAAATCAGATGTCCTTCTCTATCTCCTCACAACCTTTTGTGAATCTTCTTTGTCTGCTGCTCAAACAGTTTCTCTACTGAAATTTCTGCCGTTGCTTTCTTTCCGTTTCTTATGTCTTCTCTCTCTTTCATAGCCATATTCGATGGGGGGCTCCTCCAGTTATAAATCCGACAGGTTCGGTGTTTCCCAATGCAACACTATGGAGCCCCAGCCTCTCTCTGACTCTTCCGGTAACCTCACACAGCTCCACTACCTTTAACCTCTCCGACCCCAATCCTGGTGATTGGTATATTGCTGCCCACTTGCCTGAAGATGATGGGCGCATTGAGCAGAAGGTTTGTATAGAGCTGTAGACAGTACACTTGATGCTTTTTATCACCGCTGTTGTTTTGATTTTTTTGTTTTTCCTGGTCCCATTGTGCTCATTAAAATTGCTGCAATTTTCATGAAAACAGTTTTAAAGAAAGGTTTGAGGCCAGTTATTGAAATATTGTGTATGTTGATTATTTATTTATTTGTCTGCATAAGAATTTAGTATTATACTGAAAGGCCAAGATAGGCGACTGTGGTTCAGTGGGTGGAGTGGTTCTCTCCCAACCGGAGGTTCGAATCACGGTGCCTGCAGTCCACTTATCGAAGTGTCCTTGGGCAAGACACTGAACCCTCAAGTTGCCCCCGATGGTTAGAGCCATCGGTGTGAGTTGATGCTGCAGATGGCTGCCTTGGTACTGTACCAGAAACAAATTCCTTGTGTGTGTGTAACATGCAAATAAAGGTGATTATCCTTATCCTTATTATGAAATGGCAGTATTGTAGTGTTGTACTTTTTCTTTAACCACAGTCTGTTCAGTCAGCGCATCAGGTATGTGGATTGTTTCATAGGTCAGGTAGCCAAACCACATTCCTCTTCTTGTTTTTCTTGGCCTGTGTTCTTGCACAACTGCAGCTGGTAATGTCTTATTTACCAATAGCTGGCCTATTTACATTTTGTCTTTAATGTCCTTTGTATTTTGTATGTGTACATTAGTTTTCTATTGTTTTACTGTTTATGTGAAATTCAAATAAAGTGTGATTGATTAAAGAGAACTCTGTACCAGAATATGGACAAATGATATATTTTTTGTCCACCTTTTATTTGTTAGGGCTTTCCGTCCTGCTCCTACTTCTTCCAGCCTCAACTTGCAATCAGGAGAGCAGTGGACACACCCATTTTAGAGCAGGGCACATCCGTCCACCAGACTGCAGCCCCTGACAGACCTGCACGCCTTAAGTAAAATGTGTTTGTGCATCCTTGTACACCTATTTTATTCCATGTAGTGTCACAGTTGTATATTTTTCATATCCGTCTGTATACAGTAAGTACACAATATATTTTTTGCTGTCTTAGGTTGTATATTCCAGAGTTTGCCTCTTCTCTCTCCGTCTCTGTGACTGACTGTTCATCGGGGGGGAAAGCAGTCGGTGGAAACTGTTGGCTGGTCCTCAGGCTTGGCTCTGCCTCTCTGCAGCACAAGCCAGTAACAGTGAACTGCTCAGGGACTGGCTGCTCTGCAACTCTCTCAAATCCACCCTGGGACACCTGGTTACGAGTTGTTGTTGAGAGCAGCCAAGACAACCATACTGTAACCTTTAGTATCTTCTCAAACTACACAGGTGAGCATAGAAACAGAAGTCTTAAATATAAGGTGTACACCTCATATCTCTGTTCAAATTCATCACATGTGTGTGCTTTCTGTTCTACATGTGTGTCTGTACCTCAGTGGGATGTAAGCCAGAAAGTGTAGGCCTTAAAGTAGATGATGACTTCAACAGGCTGCGTGGCAACAGCAGCTTTTCCAACTATATATCAGCAGACAACAGCTCAGTGGTTAATGGCACAGTTGCCCTTAGCAACAAATCAGAATCAGCGGTACCACTGTTGTCAGCGTCAGCGTGTGTGTGGAGCGTCCCCGTGCTCTACGAGGAGGTGGATGTTCTCTCACTCCGATTCACCCCCGTCAACGGACCCAGCGTCAGTGTTACAAATACACACCCCACGCTGCTCACCTACCCACTGTACACACAAGCCAGTGGTGGTACACTCAACCTGCAGCTCACATTCAACACTGTGAGTACTACTGTGCGGTTAAACATATGGCACTAGATATGAGAGTCACAAAGTTAATCTTCCATGCTGTGCTGTGTTGTGTGTGTATGTGTCTGTAGACTAATGTAACCCTGGGGAACAGCAGCAGTGTGGTGGCCTGTCTGTCTCCCTTCTCTCCAGTCCTCAAGCTCAACCACTCTCAGCCTTGTCTTACAGGTAGCCCAGACCACTTACAGTTTACTCACATTTGCACTGTGGAATTTATGCATGATCACCTGGAAATAACATTAATCAAGCAGCATCCAGACAAAATATCAAATGGATAGCAATAGGAAAAATAATAAACACTTCTTTACATATTGACATAAAAAAAACATTCTGTTTTTATTACAGAATGTTGAATAGTGGAGTGTAAAGCTATGAAGCAGGTCAGGTTTATGGAATAAGACCGACACGCTCTCAGAGGTGTTCCCCTGCCTACTGCCAAGTGCATGCTGGGATAGGTTCCAGCTTTACTATTTTATGCATTAGGCCTGTCAGATGTCTGATGATTAAATCTTTATAGCAACTTAACTGATTGCACTAATGTTTCCTCACTGATTGCCTGCACTAATGTTTCCTCACTGATTGCCAGCAGCATGTAACAAAGTAGGAGACGGAACTTTGCGCTATAAAAATAAAATTTGGACTCACTGTGTATCTGCAGCTTTGTTTGGAGGATATGGTGTTCACATAAATGCCAGTTTTCCTAAAGCTGTGATCCAGCTGCCTTTCCCTCAGTCAGCAACATGGTACCTCACCTTGCAGCTCACATGCAACAGGTAAAACACACACACACAGGCATAATGCATTTGTATATTTGCAAATGGGTTTTAATGTTTCTGAATATTTTCTGCACCTTTGTCACTTTATGCCCGCATGCCCTCCCACAGACGGGGGAAGCAATACTCTCCACAGGCAATAAGTGTGTTTGAAAATCACATGCACTATGAAACTGTGTACACATGTGATTGCATCTGTTCATATTAATATATGCACATTTAACATCATGATTACTGCTGCTGTTTGTTGTTTTTCATTGACACAAATAAGCTATTTTGTGTTACGCTACAGCTTGTTAACACAGAGATGTATAGTGTGCCTACAGCCTTTGTTATATTTACAGATTCGTACTAGAGGTGGTCCATATTTTTGACCATGTCTATTACAGTTGGTGTATGTGTTTAAATTCTGACTGTTGTTAAATCATGACTGGAGTCAGAATTAATTTAACAGTAAGTAAAATGATCATATTTGGAGAAAAGCGAGAATTCCCAGTACATTTCTCTAAGTCTGTCTCAAACTTAGGAATTTAGTCTGGACTTAGATGTACTCAAACCTGGAGTTTGATATCTGTCTAGTTTACTGGTTTCTGTATGACTGTCATTTTTGCAGCAGTGACTGTGGTAATGCATCAGTGGTGCCTGTGGTCCCAGATGTGTTTATTAGTGCCTGTGTAGAGGACTGTGGGACATACGGTGAATGTAGACTGCTGAGATCCTACAGCTACCTGTATGCTAGCTGCGTCTGCAAGGCTGGTATGGCATAACCACACACACAAATCCCCTGAAGGGCTTCAGAGTATCTGTAATTATATAAAACAATAAGTGTTTTCTCTCTATTTTTGTCATTGATTCCATGCATTAATGTGGGCTCCCTGGGTATATTTGCAGGCTGGAGTGGTTGGGGCTGCACTGATGATAGGACAGCTCAGTCATACAGTCGTCAGATGACGGCAACTCTGCTGCTCACGCTCAGCAATCTGTTCTTCCTGCCTGCTGTTGTAGTGGCCATCAGACGCTGCTACATCACAGAGGCTTCTGTCTACCTCTTCACCATGTTCTTCTCCACGGTATTGAACACTCTGAAGCACAGCATGCTCTTTATATTCTAGGATTGTTTCTGACAAAAAAGATTGAAGTTGGTGTCCATGTTCTGGTTGCCTCATGCAATAATGTGTAAGAAGGACGTTTGATGAAATCCAAGCTAGGATCTCTGCCGAGTTTGTTTGAACACCCAAGGCACAGCAAGGACTAACCACAGGTTTTTAGTGCTTAACATGTAGCCTTAAGGCATTAAATGTTTCTAAATGTAAAAAATGTTTTTATGATTTAATCTTAGTTAACACAATCGTATAGTGATGCCGAGTCAGGACATATGATATTGATGTTGATTTGTGCGTCCTTCAGCCATGTGACCAGCTAATATTAATGAGCTAGTAGCACTTTGTAGTACTTTGCAGCAATTATTTATCACATCTGTTTGTGTTTTTGAGATGAGGATGATGCAATATGTCTCATTTAATCTATTTGAGGACGTTATCAAAGTAGTGTCTAGTATTTACTATGTGTTTCTCTTAATAGAGTTGTTAGATATGACTGTTGATGATCTTCATTTTAAAAATATGCCTTGACCCAGAAGAGATCATATACAGATCTCATGCAGTTACTATGCAGGATAGATGTTAATTTCTGCAATAAGCAGACTGTTAGAAAAACATACATCTGGCATATTGGGCACTGTGGAAATGTGTGTGTGTGTGTGTGTGTGTGTGTGTGTGTCTTTTTTACTGACTACAAAAGTAGGCCTTTACAGTGAGTTGTTACCATTCAGAGTGCTTATTATTCTTCTGGTTTTTTCTTGTGTGTGTAGTTCTACCATGCATGTGACCAGCCAGGTATAGCCGTACTGTGTATTATGGACTATGACACCCTACAATACTGTGACTTCCTGGGGTCAGTTTGTTCCATCTGGGTCACCATCCTGTGTATGACTCGCATCAAGGACACATTCAAATATGTAAGACACAGACTGTTGCCAGTTAAAAAAATAATACTCTTTACTGAGCATTCATGTATTTTAAGTGTTAAGATTTGTTGACTATTGTCTTTTTCTTACTACTTTGTGTGTGTGTATAGACAGTGTTTATGCTCGGGGCTTTGCTGATTGCCATGTCAATGCAGTTGGACCGCAAAGGCCTGTGGAACCTGCTGGGCCCCGTCCTCTGTGCACTGCTGTTCATGGTCACCGCATGGGTAACACACCAATAAACCATTGTCTTTTGACAATTTCTATGTAGATGAAGATTATTTAGGAAGTTTTAGATCATTTAGGAAGTCACACAGGGGCTGAAAACTGAAGATTGATGATACAACTATCAACTTGCTGAGCCCAGTCACCTTTTGTTTGCAGGTGTATCGAGGAGTGCAGCGTCGACATTGTTACCCGCCATCTTGCCGACGCTGGGTCTTCTACCTTCTCCCCGGGGCAATGTGTGCTTTGATCGGGGTATGCTTGTACATTTTCGCCGAGACAGAGGAAAATTACTACTACATACACTCACTGTGGCACATCCTGGTGGCCAGCTGCGTGGTGTTCCTGCTTCCACCAAAGGAGAAGAAAATTGAGGCACTGGGCTGGAGCAGGGGCTGGAGCTGGAGTTGGAGTTGGAGCTGGAGACCCCGGGTGTGTGGGTACACTCTCTGTCAGAACGGAAAGGATGAACTCTACACTGTCACATAGTGGTGCAAAAGATGCACCACTATGATGCAAAGTGGCTCGATACAGTATTGATTGTTAGCACTACAAACATTCACAGAAGGTAAATATTTATACACAAGCACAGGGTTTCTGCTGGTGGTGGCAGAGTGTGTTTAAACCTCTGACTCTTCAAAGTTTATTATTATATTCAGTAAAGCATTTTAAAATCAAATCTAATCAATTCTAATAAATGTTCATATAAATGTGCAACTATTCTTATATATAAGTTAAAAAAAAAACTATCTCCAAAGGTCTTATATTAGTATAAAAATGCAAACCTGCAGACAACACACACACACACAGGCAGCACATCTAACCCAAACTGAACCTGTTGGAACCTCCAAGGTGCACCAGCCTAAGCTTAAACCTCAAGGCCTCCAGGTGGCACACCCACTGACCTTTGACCTCATGGCCAGGAGTTTATACATACTACTGTATACGTACATATTTTACTAGGTTAGGAACTGAATGTTTGAAAATATTTATAACAAATAACACTTTGTGGACCTCTTGAATCTTTATATTAAGTCTATCACTGAATCTACAGATGAAAATATGCTATATATATAATGGATGTAAACACTCCTCACACTCCCATTCTTTCATATTTCCATCAGCCCGGGGCAGAATTTGATCAACCTGAATTGTGTTTAACTGTCAGATATTTAAGTCTTTAAAATAGTCCCAGCTCCAGCTCAGTCTGTGGTCTTCATCTGTTTGCTTTTTATCTTCAGAGGAGTTAACTGCACATTACTGAATCAGAAGAGTCAAATATGCACAGTGGAAACCATTTAAAACCAGCAAACTTTGCAATAGATTCTCAGACGCTGGTCACGTTTAGGTGCAGTGATTTGGGACACAGGGGTCTTTGCTCATTTCTTTAAACAACACCATGTCTTTAAACAGCATACATACAGCTTGTGCTGAAACTGGGTACATCTCAAGTCTTTTATAAGATTGTTCCTGCTTTTATGGCCTGAGGCCATCCCAAGTCTCTTATGTCAGTTCTGAGGAGCAAGGAAGCTGCTGAAGGAGCCACGACCGAGGATACAGCCTTCGTGGAAGTTTTTTTTTTTTTTTTATGAACCAACATGCCCATTTATCAAAAAGCATTGGATGCTTCAGATGAAGGATCAGAGGAAAGGGCATCTTGTCATTAATGACGTGTTTCCTCGAGTCCTCTCCCCACACATGTTTTCCTCTTATTTGGACTAAGACACGAGGAAAAACCACAAGTGAGGGAAATGACAGTGCTTATAAGAGACTTGGGATGTACCCATAGGCCTTTCTTGTTTTGACTATTCCTGGTTGTGTTTTCATCTTCACTATTTATGACCACTTTTTACTAAGATTCATTCTGAAGCACTTTTATAATTAGAAAGCTGATTCTACTATGTAATCTAAGTAGCCCATATGTGTATGAATGGACACAATGAATGTATATTCAGATTACTGTGTCCAGTGCTGCCTCTTTTAACTGTCTTGTGCAAATTAGTGCACTGTACTGTATGTGTGAGTTTGTCTTCTATACTAGTAAAGCTACTGAGCACTTTCCATACTTGTGTAAGACTAGATAGTTTGTCGTGTGCTTGAGTGTCCCATGCTGAGATGATTTTCTCATTGTGATTTTGCACTGGAACAAGCTGAACATTTCTGCCTCACACATGCAAAGCCTAATGATCAGTGTTGAAATATGTAAATCATTTTAGTCTGTTGTCATGATGATACATGCCAATGAAATAATTCCACTACAACATACTGCAGCTTTCACTGTGTGTAAGAATCTTAAATTTAAAATATTTTAATTCATTTCACCTAATTTTCAATGTCTTAACATTTTCAGACAGCATTTATTTGACCAAAAATAAACCTGATACATACAGTCTCATGTTTTGTATTGCTTTTATGTGGACATAGATTCATAGTGTTTTCTCAGTCACACACAGAGTGGATATGGTACAGAGCTAAGGAGATTAACATAATCCTCAGGAATGTAGAAAGTGCTTCTGTTGAAACACATTTCACTGTGTATGTGCCCAAACATGAGAGTATATCTGCTTTTGTATCCATATGTAGTAGCTTAACTCCATTAGCAAATTTGATGGGCTCTCAGGTTTTGCAAAGCTGATGGATCAGTGCTACACATTACACAACATTAAGCACCTGCTTATTGTTTTGGTGGTGTTGGCCTGTGAATTGACTGAAAGGTATAAAGTTGTTTTTCATTAGTGGGTGTTTTAGTGGGTTTTTTGTGTGTTGTATTTTCATAAGGTTGGGGGAGTTGCAAAACAGATTACAGTACTAAAGGAAATGTAAGCATAAGGGCAGGGGGTGATGAAATATCCCGACTTTTAATCCCTAGAATGACTGAAAACGAGTCTCCAACATTTCCTGTAATGCAACACAGTAGCATCTGTTAGACCTTCCCTGCCTGTTAAATGTTCTCATTTTACACAAAGTACGGGAAACATTAATTTACAGTAAATATGAATGGTTTGTCCACATACAGCCAGCAGAGGGAGCCCTCCAGTAGAGGAACTGCAGCTCCCACAGAGCCGTTGGTGGGAAGAAGAAAGGGAAGTAAACACTGACAGGTTATTAAATGAAAAATGATGTAAAAAGAAAGAGGGGGTGAGTAGCAACACTTCTGGAACAAGATTCTCATATGTTACAGTTATGATTTCAGGATTTGAAAAACTATCAGGTTATTGCCTAAATTAGTTTGTCAAAAGCCTTCAGATCTGGAGATTAATGCATCCTAAAATAAACCACATAAATAATTTGTGACGTAGATTAAAGCCTACAAACAGAACAACACAAAGAAAGGGAAGACAAAAGTGAGGAAGGCAAAGGAAGTTATTGAAAATTTAAAAAATAAAAGCCTCATCACAAATCCCCACACTTTACTACAGCATGCGGCGCTGAGAACACAACACAACACGAAGTGCTGCTGTGACATTTTATTGGGATGAAAAAATGCTCATGCAGAATGGCAACAACAATCACAATGTGAAGCTCCAGCATGGAATGACCCTAACAAGCAAACTCTACAATTATCATACACATGCTGAGATAAATTTCTGAATTAATTGCATATATATGTTCTCTATCAGCAACCTCTTTACCTAAACCTGTTTATAAGAGACAGAGTATTCCCTGTATGAAAGCTGTCTCATGGACTGAGGGTAGCGGCCTATTAGGAATCAGTATCAAAAACAACAGGGCACATTGTTTGGACCGAGATTAGATGTAGAAGCAGGATGGATATGCAGCAGTAAGAGTTCATGCTCTGGGAGTAAAATGTGCTGCTACTAAGGCATGCATTAACACGTGTGCTCTGAGACAAAGCTCTACATTTAAATCCTAGCTCTGGTAATGTTACAGCAGTGAAAGAAAAGCTCTGGCTTTCACTCAGACAGTTTGACTTCCAGCATCAGACATGGGAACCGCCTGCAGTGTTGGTACCTGTTTGCCCTGCCTGCTTGACACGTCTATCTTCTTTTGTTGCCTGGGTGACGGCCTGAGCAGGGGAGGGGCTAGATTACCGCTGCCATCTCATAAAGGGGAACACACTGAGGGGAAAGGGAAGAAGAAAAATAAGTATAATTTAATTAACTAATGAGTTATTGTAGAGTACAGGGTGTCAACAAATGTGAATTTAACCTTTTCTTGGTTTCCTGGGGGACAATAGCTTTGGCCAGCATGTTCTTGTACAGGTCAGACTTTATATATCTTGGGTATGAGTCCTGGATACACACAGATAAAAAGGCATAACACAGCATTAGCACCAACACTCATTCTAATCAGTGTCGGCCTATGTCATCTGGATACATCTGCTTTTAGTTGACGCCTTGGGGATTTAAGCAACTTAAGTGAAGATCACTAGTATGGTCCATTAAGCCAAACCATTTTAGGTGTCCTAGCATAGAATCAAGTATCAAACTACAATGGATGAGTCAGGGAGAGACCTTTTTCATAAGGAAGTAAATGTGCATTTGTGCATCATCCATGACAAAGCGATGTGGGTGTTTGATCCCCTCTAAAGTTTTATCCATGGTCTTGCTGTCAATGTTGACCCAGTGAGCAGCTCCAGGTGCCAGGAAGTTTCTGAGTCACACACAAAAGAGGAACAGTCAGCTTATAGTAGATGTGAAAACATGTCTCTGCATGCTTGTGCGCTTGTTTACTTACTTGTAGACCTCTTCCACTTTCTCTGTAATCTTGGAACTTTCTCCATGTCTAATATCCTCACAGGCCTCCCAGAAACGCAGGTTCTCCTCTAAGAACAGAGAGGGAGAGACGGCAAGGTGTTGGGTATGAATAGAGGTGAATGAAACAGCACAAATCCTGACACACACAGACAGACCTTTACTAATAAGGCTGGTCTCTGTGGAAAACCTATGCCCCTGGAAGTACTCCACACATCATATCTATATGAACGAACACATCCCTCTCCCATATTTTGCCCTTTACATTCTTCACCTGTGTATCGCACTCTTCAATCTGTCTTGGACCTACCTCTCTCCTCTCTAACTTTACTTTCCATGCTCCCAACAAAACATGTAATGAAATTAATCTTCTTTTCCACTACTTCAACCCGTGGGACTGGAAAATGTCATTAGGGAAGATAATGCTAATAAGAATGGGAATCAATTAAAAGTTAGGAATAGCACATTTGTTTATTTGTTTGCTGTTGTAATAAGTTTGTCCCTTTTATTTTGTTTGCGGTATTCATTGCCAATTCATACCATATGTGTAAAACAGAAATGTGTTTTAATAAGTATATGAAAGCATATGGGATATTCAGTGTCTGAATGAATTACACCAAGCTGGCCAATCACCAAATGTTTCACCAAATTCACATATGAAATCTGACAAGAACATCAGGATTCACAATACAAAAAAACATCTTATGATAGTGCTGTGTATGCAGATTATTAAATGCATTTTGAGTATAATCCAACATGTCTGTCACTTCCCCTCACCACTAAACTCTTTCTCCAGGTAGGTCATAAACTCCCGCCTCCCCATGACATCACTGAGAAGCTCCATGAAGCTGAAGCTCCAACGTTCCACACGAAGACGTGTCGGTGCAGGTACTCTGCTCATAGAAACACAACACAGAGGCAGGAACAAAACTCAGAGCTTTAGATCCAGACATGCAGGCATACATGATACAGACTGCTCTGTTAATGTTGAACTAAAATATGAATTAAGATGTTAAGAAATGCAAGGAAAGATGAAGCCAGCAAAACAGGCTTTGACTGCAGCGTGTGTATTGTGTATTCTCTCACATTTCTGCATTCATTGTCCAGTGTGCAGTGTCATCAGAGATCCAGGGGTTACTGGGAAGGCAGCCTTGCATGATGGGATCGTGCATCTGGTACTGCTCACTGTATTTTACAAAACTGCACTTCCACACACAAGTGCAGAGGCATGCACACGCGCACACACACACACACACACACAAAGTATTATTGTATTAGTGCTCCAGCTCATAAGAGTTAATGGTCATTAATTTCAACTTGCCTCTGGAAGTATCCATTAGTGGCTCTTATAGTGGGAGCATTAACTGTTATGTGCATGTTGTGTGCATGCATGAGTGTGCTAGAAATGTAGAGTTTGGTTCAAGCAATATCCATTAGAGCTTATGTGTAATTATGTGCATGTGTGTCTGCATGTTCTCACACATCAGACTGACACGCACCCTTCTAGACAGATGGATGACTTTACACGGTTTCTTCCAAGAGCTCTTCTACAGGTTTCAATCTGTAAACAAGTCGAGCCAAGTCAAGAATCTTTATTGTAATTATGCACAGCACAACGAAATTTCTTCCAGCAGCTTTCACCTTAAAAGACACATTAGTTACATAAATAACACAATAATTGTACAAGTCAATATAAAAATATGAACAGATAAAAATGAAAATGTATGGGACCTAATCAGGTCAACAGCATATTAGCAGCAGAAGAATATAGTCACATTCTAAAGTGCAGCTCAGTGCAAATCTCAGTCTTTAAGAAGAGGTGTGAGCATGTGTATGTGTCTGCAGGAGTCCAGTATTCTATCTGTATCTGTCCGTTGGGGGGGGGTTGTGTGTGTGTGTGTGTGTGTAACTAGGGGTTAGGGGGGTGATTGATTTCACAGCTCTGGGGAAGAAGCTGTGTCTCAGTCTGTTTGTTGACAGAACATAGACAGAACTCACATATACAAATGTACACACACAAAGAGATCTATAATACACACTCAGTGTACTTAAAGTGAGGCTTTATAAATTCTATATGATTGTTACCTCTCCTTTGTAGTGGTCACTGTTCTAGTTCTGTGGAGAGAAATAGTGTCACCGTGTTTGGTCACACACTGCATGATAGTGTACATTTACACAGTCAAAGGCAGCCTCCCTGTGTCCACGAGTGTTCTCCAAAACAAACAAGGACTTTGAAAAATAAACTAGGTTATATTCTGAAAAATGAGGAGACTACAGCATAAGATTGGTCATGACATAATATATATTTCTTAACCTCTGTTTATAATTGCAAAAAATGTGATATACTATAACTGCCCATAGCATAATGGACACTTACTTTGAAACAATCCCAGCAGCAAGAAAGAAGGAATGCAATAAAACAAGTAGAGAAGAGACTGATAGTGTGCTATTGTATTCAGTTTTTCAGATAGCAGTTAAAAAATGGGGTAAAGAAACATGATGATATCACTGACCAGTGTAACTCCTAAGTTATGTGGTCTTTCTAGACCCATGTCCAACACATTATGTGTCTCTGGCTGAAAAGAAATACACATACAGAATTAGGCTATGTATAGTATATTTGTTGTTGAGTGTGTGCATATACACTATGTGTGTATGTTTGTGTCTGATAAGAACGTGTGTGAGTGAGCACTTATCCTTCCTTGAGCTTTCCACTCCACTAGCTCGAACTTCTATTCCCAGGTTTCTCTTTCTTTATCTCTGTGCCCTCGTGCCTAATTCATAAGGCATGAAAAGATGGAGTCCCTCCTCCAGACCCTTGTCCCCTGTTTCATCCTGCCATCTTTACATCAGTCCCTCTTTACAATTCCAATCACCCCTTTCCTCCTTCTCTACCTGCCCCCTACATCTTCTTCCCTTTCCGATCCTTCTCTCTGTCTGTCTCCATCTAAGAATCAAATAGACTGCTCCTGTGTATATAAAGAGAGTAGAATGTAATGACTCACTCTCTCTTTATCTGTTCCCCCTGTTGCTAGCTGAGGCTTTTACTAGAGAGGCTGAATATTTCATGCAGGAAGCAGACAGGACTGTGTGTGAACATTAGTGGGATCTCTGACTGTGATACACTTTTCCACAGTTGTATAGTTTCATCTGATTGTATACAGTAATATAATGTACCCACTTAATATAGTAATAGTATAGCAAAGTATATTATAGTGTGGTGCAATGTGGTATAGCACAGTATACTATAGTGCAGGGAAGCATAGCATAGCATAGCATAGTATAGTCTATAGTACAGTTATAGAATAGTGTCAATGTAGGACAGCAGCAGAGTATAGTGTTACATAAGTTATATTATGGTGTAGCAGACGGTAAGATATGATAGTATATTATCATACAACACAGGACAGTACAGTCTTATAGCACAATACTAGTAGACGTACCGGAGGTCTGTTGACGAGCCAGTAAGCCTGCTCCTGACATTCTAGAACAATGCGGTCAGCCTTCCTCCTCTGTTTGGATGCTCTAAACATAAATTACATTGTAAGCTTGTGTGTGTGTGTGTGTGTGTGTGTGTATGTGTGTCTGTTGTGGTGGTGGTGGTGGGGATGGGGGTGGGGGGTGCGTGACTGTACCTCAGTTGCTCTCTGGCTTGCATCACCACAAAGTCCCAGGTGTGGTTGATCCTCTTGTGCAAAACATTGTATCTCTCCTAAAAAGATGATAGAAGGAAGGAAGAGAAATGATGACATAGGCACACAGGCCTGTTACCTCACACTTCCCACTGCATAATTCATAATACACACACTCTTTTTCGGTGTCACACACACTTTCCTTACCTTTTCATATTCCATCAGTTCTCCTTGTTTTCTTATGTTCTTTTTAGCCAAATAGATAGCTGGTGATAAGAGGTAAAACAAACAGCTAAGAATGAAAGGAGAACAGAGACTTGTGCTCTGATTTACATAATCTGTTTCACTTAAGGTACCTGTAAATGCTTATCAGAACCTTTGTAAGACATTCTATGTGTCATACATTTTATTATGTGATCATTTGCAGTTAACTGTTGTTTTCCCTCACTGTGCCCCTACATTTTACCTTTGCCTTACCATAGTCCAGTTCTGAGGCAGGCCATCGAGTACTAGTCCAGAAGTAAGGGGTCTGAGAAAAACAAATGACTTTTTAAAAATGTTTGACAGAGACTGATGGTGAGGTGGGTGATGCAAAAAGGGGCAGCACAGAGTGGCAGATGGATGGGAGATTAGAAAACAGGCTAATAGAGTGAAGGGGAAAGGGTGAGATAGTGACAGACAGAAGGTGACAGTTTATTCACAAGACCAAGGAAGAGGAAGGGTGGGTTTTTACAAGCAGGTAGCAATAACATGCTGTATGAAGGATGATCATCTGACCTGGAAACGGTAAGGTGACTCATCAGCTTGTAACACAAGAGATCTCGGCTCCTTGAGAGGGTAAATATACCCGTACCTCACCAGCATGGCACCAAGGTGAAGACCCTCTGTTAAAAACCACACAAGTCTAAAACTTATCACTGGATTGTGTTACAGTTTCACTTTTTTTTTTTTCTGTCAAGGATATGAACTTACACGCATCCACCCCTTCAAGGCAACAAGAACTCAAATCGCTGTGTGTTTAATTATCTGGCTGATATTCAAGAAAAACAGTTGCTGCACACAATGATCATAGGTTTCTTCTTCATAACTTCAATAAAAAGTAATTTTGTGGTGTATTATTTGAACATGTTATTGCTTGTGGTAAATGACCAATTTTTGAAAATTAACATGTTACCCAGGGTTTTATTTATCAGTCTCTCTCAAATGTTCTGGTGATGAATTGCAACATCAATTTTCAAGTCTCACCTTGTTTAATAAAGGATTCTTACTTTTATGACTGACAGCTACCAAAAAAGCTTTGGGATGCATTTTAATCAGCTATCTTGCTTGCTCATCAAGCTCCTCCTTTAGTGTACTCTGAAGCAAAAGGGACCAGTAAACTACATTTTCCTCCAACCTCTGATTTAGTTCAGGTATGGTTAAAAAAAAACTCTACAGGGACACTAATCCAACCCAGATCATCAGGTGAGTTAATCAAACTTGGACCCTCTGGGGTTTGCTCCATTCCTGTTTACTGGAAACAGCAACCCAACAACAGACACAAACATCATATCACGTCAGCTTGAGAGAAAACACCATATCCTGGCAACACAATAGCAACAGCACACAGCAAGGCAACAGTGGAAGAGAGAATCACAGCAGATGCTTTAAATCACACACACAGTGCAGTTACTTACCTTCTTCACAGATATTGTATTTCTGGATCAACCAGTCAGTGACATCACGGCCTGCAGATGAAGAGCCAGAGAGACAGGAGACAAGAAAAGAGGATAAATGTACTCTCTCCACTTTACTGCACACAGTATTTTCCAAAATTCCGTGCTGCATTATGCATGACCACTGAGGCAAACACAAGCTGCAGTGTGCATATCCATGCATGCACACACAGATGTTAATGCACATTGACATAACGGGACAGAAATACACGCACACACCTGTCATGGCGTGTGGAATAACCGTGATAAGGAGCCTCTGGTTTCTCATCTTCATGCCCATGTCAGGGTCCTGCATGGCCACAATCACTTTCTCCATCTGTCAAGGGAACATGCACACATTAACCCAACATATAAAACACATATAAACATTCAGACAAACAACGCATTAATTAAATCCACTCTTTCATAACTTATTTTCATGCTGACATTGGATATTTTCGGATCCATACGGGGTTACCTCACTAGTATATGTCAACAAATGAAACCAAAGAGCCAGAACCATACAGTCTTACTTTTCGAAAGCCTAACATTTGTTCTCGGTGCCAGCTTCCTTTAGCCAGGGGGTTGATGGTCATCCTGACTGCTTGGGATCACTGGACGGGACGTAGAGTGCCAAGCTGAAGTGCTGTCGGGAACGCGCGGCACAGAGACTAATTCCTTTTTTCCATCCAGCGCCCGGCGGACGCGCCCCTGTGTAGATTAGAAGAGATTACATTATGCCTGAGTGATTTTCAGTGTTAGGCTATATAGTGTTTGTACAGAAGCGAAAACATCTTGGTTATGGGTTTTTGTATCCTTGTCAGCGATATTTAAACTCATTGCAAAGGCAACTAAAGATGAGCAAAATTTCAGTGGTATAAAATATATAACGAAATGTCAAGTTCTACACATTCATAATTCATTGTAGCATTTTGACATAGCCTAATACAAACATGAAACCGAGTGATACCTCTCATAATAAGTCATACAGACTTGACCAACCAGCACTGACTACGAAGTTGTATAGCTAGTTCACAGGGTGATATGTTTATTGGTCATTGTTTATTAAGGCTTAAATTTAACAAACACCCTGTTGGCAAACGTAAAACAGAAATATCTTCAACAGTAGGCCTACATATATATATAAACAAAATAAATACAGAGTTGCTTTATTTTAAATTATTAAACGATTCAATTTAATTAATTCGAAATTTTACCTTTTAAATTTTAGAAACTCGGTGCCTTACGTTAGCTTGAAAAACATACTTAATCGCTCATGATAATAAAAAGTAAAATTTAAAAACTTTAGGTCTTAGCTTAAAATGTTTTACTATTTAATTGTCGCATTGAAAATAAAAAGGAAACCGCTCTGGATAGTAACAGTCCTACAAAACATAACGTTATATCTTCATAAATACATACGTTAACAATGAATGAAACCACGGCCCTTGACGTTAACTATGTAACAGCGCTTTCTCTGAAAATGTCAATGGCAGGAGTTTTTGCCCACTCGGCTTCCGTAGAAGCAGGAAACGGTATCGTTGTCGTTTTGAGTAGTGGTCTCATCGTCGGTTATTATATCAAGTAAGTTTCAAAAATTAAATTGAAACCTGTTGCAGAGGTAAGAGTTTTATTAAATATAGGCTTTTGCGAGGCGGCTACAGTGATAACTAAGACACGTGAGATTTGTTGTTGAATGGAAAACACTCTTTTTAGCTAACCTTGCTAATACTAGCTGTAGCAGGATGGAGGAGACCGACTGTGTGTGTGTAGTCTGTGGTCCACTTAAGAAGTGTGGAGTTAAAGCTGTGCACATACAGTTTATAACATGATTATGTACAAGTGTAAAGTTAAAACCCGACTTTGCGGCTACTGTTCTTGTGTCTTTGTTTATTGTACCATTGGTTTACTTCTTCTGTGCATGGACAAGTTAACATATGCTGAGGATCAGTGCATTGTTGTGTTATAGCTAATACAGTAGAGTGTAGTATAGTAATAGTAGTAGTATATAGTATAGTAGTATATTTTTTGTTGTTTTTCTATTCAGCATATAAGACATGTCACAGATTTCATGATTTCATTAAGCCAAGTCTGCAGCATTATTACATGCTCATGATGCCTCATTTGAAAGTTAAATTCTAGTGATTACTTACACCAGTTTAATCATCTATTTTGAAACAGGTTTGTAATGTGTCACTCTTGAAGTTTCAACAACACGAAGCTTTAAAGTTGTGATGGGTGACATTCGTCTGTCCTTGCTGCCCCGCGATGTGCTGAGTGCAGCCAAGGAGCTGCTGTACCACCTGGACATCTATATCTGTAACCTGGTGCAGTCTGGGATGCAGCCTCCTCAGGTTGACGCCAAAACTCTGGAGCTGGTGGAAGAGTTCATTCTGCATGCACCCAAGGACAGAAATGCTCCAGTCAGGGTAAGACGTAATACGTAAACGCTTGTGCACCATTATACAGTCTCTAAACACAAAAATGTGGACAGCCAGTTAATGGTGCCTTTGTCTTTCAGAGGATGAGTGCTCTCCAGGAGCTCCAGCTGCTGGAGATTATGTGTAGCTGTTTCCAGGAACAGAGTCGAGACACAGTCCGTCAGCTTATGTTCTCTGCCCTCTTCAGTCTCCAAGGCGACCAAGCAGACGAAAGCCGAATGTCACTGTTAGGCAAGCTGGTCTCCATGGCAGTTGCTGTGGGCAGGGTCCCTATCTTGGAATGTGCAGCAACCTGGTTACAGGTGATGATTCAGACACACATGATAAAATGTGTGTTTTATGTGCATTCTTATATTCATTCTGTGTTTGGATGCATGTGTGTTGAATGTGGATGTAGTGAACATGTTCCTTTATTTGTATCTGTGTCATGCAGAGAACACATCGTGTGTACTGCGTACGTCTGGCACAGGTGCTGGTAGACGACTACTGTAGTATGGTGCCCGGCTCAGTGCCCACCCTACAAAACATCCACAGCGCCAGCCCACGCTTCTGCTGCCAGTTCATCACTGCTGTCACTACCCTCTATGACCTCACCTCAGGTACTTTGGTGCTATAATACAATACAACAACATCTACTGGGGCCTCGATAAAATGGGAGTTGCCTTCTGTTAAAAAATGTTATTTGGCAGATGGAATATATTATGTCAGCATAATGTACCTTCCTATTAAGAGGCTAAAAATACAAATAATTCCAAATTTTGTCATTTAACGTGTGTGTGTGTGTGTGTGTGTGTGTGTGTGTAGAGGAGCTCACCCCTCCTTTAGAACTCCTCCAGATGATTGTTTCGTGGATCCAAGATGACCCTCGCCTAGTCTTGATTACCTTCCTGAACTCGCCCCTCTCTGGCAACCAGCCAATCAGTTCACTAGATGTCACACCACTAGGGGGGTTGGTGCGCTGGTGCGTTAAAGCACCGCTGGCCTACATGAGAGAAAAGCAGCTGGCATTGACCAATGGCAGCACTGAAAGTGAGCCAGAAGCAGGGACTCTCTTCTCTGCTCTTCATTTAAGTGTCCTTCAGGTAAATGTTTTTTTATAGGTACATGCATTTGCAGAATACATCCATTGTACATACTACAACAAACTTACAACATAAAAATTAAAGACACTCAAGCCTTTTTCTCATGCCATTGTCCATCCCCTACCAGGTCTTCATGCTTCTGCCAAATATACTAAATGAGAAGGGGCTTTTTGGCCGGTTGGCACTACTCCAGATGGAGTCTTTGGCTGCACTGACCTCTGATCTTTCCCGACTGTTGGACCAGGCTGACAAACACACACACACGTCATCCACAGGCACACACGCATTGTCCCAACTGGCCTTGGACCGGCTGGCACAAGCCCTGCAGGTGGCCATGGCCAACGGAGCCTTGCTCTGCTCGAGAGGTAAGAGTGTGGTAAGGATGGATGGAAAGATAAAAGTGGTACAGAGGTTGAGGCTAGGAAGGTAGAGAGAGAAGAAGAAGACTGAAGCCCTTTTCGGACATGCAGTGGAACACTGAAAGTATCTAGACATTACCTAGAGAGCTTATGTGAGAATAAAAATGTCCGAGTCATTTGACCCAGACATTGGGCAGCTTCCTAGTACAAAGTCCAAGTAAAGTCCAAGTGAGCTCGAATGAGCCCATGTAAGAAAACAGCCGCATATAGCCTGGAGTATTCACGCAGAGCTAGTGGGTACTTTGATGACATGCTGGTGCCACAATTGTCAGACAAGGCAAGAGACTCAGTTGTTTATGACCACATGACAAACCGGTTACCTGACCATGTCATATCCCACCCCCTGCGCACTTTGACATGGACTGTCTTCTGTTGTGCCCTATATGTGTGAAATTGGCATAAGCGAGCTTGTATGAGCTGCTGGATGACACTGCTGTGGCTGACTCTCAATGAGCTACTTCAGCAGAGACAGTGAACACAACAAGGGTGTAGGTGAAGGGCTGGGTGGAAGGTAACAGTGCAGGGAGAGGGAGGGGTAGGAGGAGCGGAGTGGTTTCCTCTTAAGCCTAACGGTTGCCTCAGTTTGATTTGCTGAGCTTGCTTATTGTGGCTTTATAACTGCAGATATTCAGATCCAGCCCAGTCCTTTATTTCCCTCTGTTCTGTCAGTGTTTGCTGTGATGTATACAAAGACAATGAATTGCTGAGAGCATACAAAGCTCACGTCCAACAAGACGTATAATTTCAAAAATATGAATTCTGAATTTGAGGATATTATTGTAGTTCAAGCTGGAAGCTGTTATTGTTTGACAAATCGTTAATAATACATTTGTGTGATCATAAAATCAGCAGGTGCTTTCACAGTAGCAGGAGAATGTCCCTGCTCTGCTATAGAAATGTAGATCAAATTGCATTAGCATGGAAAACAAAATGAAGCATAAACCTAATAGCATCACATTTTTCTAGCTAGTACATTTCTTGCCAAAATGGACATAACCTTCATTTTACAGCATCTGCATCCTCTTTGCTATAAACATGCACAGGTTAACAATGTGTGAAAAGTGATTGATTTCATCTTTTACGGATCATTAAATAAGTAATTGATTAATTGGCTGGATCGCTCATCATCTAGATTGTCTTATTGTGCTGTAATGTTTCGGTGCATATTACATGTCACATTGTCTCTACAGAGGACCTGAGAGCCATCTGTTCCCGCCTCCCCCACAACAAGTAAGCAACACTAACCTCTTATTTCCCATTTACTCAGAAAACCATTTCTACTTGCATCTTGGATTCAATGAGAACTGTAAAATGTAATCATTTGACAAAACCAGCATCTGCTTCAGTTTAATTTGTGGATAAAATGTCTACTGTAGTAAGCAATATGTCTGTATGAAGCGCAGACCTCTGCTGGGTCTGTCATACAGTGGACAGCATGTGGTGTTAAACAGAGGTCTAATAAACACACCTGAAAATTGGTGACAAAGAATTAAGTTGCTGTTATAACGGCAGCATTAATTCAAATACAGATTAAATCCCTGTCATTTAAATGAGGGAATAAAGTGTAAAAGAGGTACATTATCTTTCTGATGCAGAGATAAGCAGTCATTTCAGGCTACTTTGCTTTCAAAAGCAGGGATTATGTGGACTCATAACACAGCAGGATCCATTTTAGAACCATCAGCATATTTACAGTAAGCACACTGCCAAATAGGGTCCCACATTCAGGTTAATTCCACACATACACTTGTGTGTATAGTAATGTAAACAAACTTATTGCACATAAACACAGGTTATGAGAAAATGAATTATTTTATAATGCTTACATTAGTTGGCTTGCTTAAGTCAGAATAATGGTTATTTCTGTGTAAGACAGAACGGTGCAGCCCTCACTGACAAAAGAATCTCTCACATAATCTAAGTTTTGTTTAGTTTTGTAGGGGGCCCTTTGTATTATGGATGTGTTTCAGTCCTCAGATTTTTGTTGTGATGTACTACATTGTTGTATGCATTTTGTTTTCCATTTGAACATTTTCTCTATTTTGTCTCCCTTGTTTTCTCTTCTTGTGTATTTGTGTCTCCAGTTTGCTGCAGCTGGTGTTGTCCGGCCCAGTGATGTACTACAACAACATCCACACGCCTCCACTGGCCTTCAGCCCGCATGCAGCTCATTCCCCCATCGCCTCACACCCTGCACACACCCCACACACACCTCTTGCCACCCACCCCTCCCCTCACCCTCAGTACCCCACTCAGTCTTACATGACTGGGATGCCATTTCCCTTCCGACCCAGCCACTAAGAAATAATATCCAACTTGTTTGCAGATGTGGAGTGTGTGTGTGTGTGTGTGTGTGTGTGTGTTGGGTAATGAGTGTTGTTGTCTGTTTGTTAGCATGCATGAACTAATCTATGTGTGAGTGTTATGTATTAAGATGCTGTAAAGCACATTTGCTTCTGAGAAAGCCCGTGATCTTGACATGTTTGTCCAATAAATATTTTTTTACTTCATTCTGTGTTGTTCTTTATACCAACCACATGTAGTCACTGTTGTCCTGTTCCCAGCTACATATACAGCAGCTTTCCTATAGCAATAGTAATATACATTTTAACAATAATATACATTTATACAGTTTCAAAGAGCTTAATGATAAAATGCAAAACTAAAATCGTATAACACACCATAAAATGCAAAACTAAAATCGTATAACATAACACACCGAGACACAGACAACATTAAAAACTAACCTACCGTGTATTACACATAAAATTGTCATAGAAGAGAAGTCATATGATGATCACAAGAAGGAAAAGCTTTCATATGTAAGGTCAGGTCTGCATTTTAGGGATTTATTGTAGCTTTTTCAAAATACAGCATGACAGGTTTAATATTGCTTTATGCAGACTATGGGTTGTTGCATTGTCAGAAACAATCATCATTAGTGGAGTAAACCAAACTGCATGCTATAATTGATACAAAGCAAGCATTTTAAATTAGAACAAAACATGAAATTCACAAAACTTAGACGTGAAAAAGCCTTAGATTTGACCCATGTAATTGCAGGGAAACGCAATCAAAACCTTATGTTTATCACAAAAAGTCCAAATATCCAAATGCAGACTGTTCACCTCTTTCCCAAACTCGACATGTTGCATTGTGCAACCAAAGATGTCAAGAGTTTTTCGGAGCCAAGCCCTGTAAGTGTGGCCCTGTTTTGAGACAGATAGTGTATCATTGGTCTACAGCACACCACAAAAAGAAAGCTGACCAACCGACCTCAGGACCCCAGCTGCCCACATCCAGGCTGTGTATTGCATCATCCATAGCTGTCTCTGCATAGCCTTTGTGATGGCTATCTTTTATATCAATATGTTTGTGCAAAATTTTAATTAGAAACTTAGGTCAGTTGTGTTTTAGGGATCCTAATGGACATGCATGATGTCTGCGTTACCCCAGCCCACACACTTTTTTTTATTTCAACTTACTTCAACAGGGACATGCATGATGTCTGCGTTACCCCACCCCACACACTTTTTTTTTTATTTCAACTTACTTCAACAACTTATGTACACATGCTGAGAAGGAAATAAACATAATGAAAGATAACCTTGTGCACTCCTACATGATATTGTTATAACAGCAGTCACTACTTCCTTATCTTTTTATACTATAAATGTATTACCATGGTGAATATAAAATTTCCTTCATACATATCGGAACAATGGAGCTACAACATCAAGTTTCACATGCAGTCCAGGAGAGTGTCTACATATTGCAGCATTGTGACTTTCAGCTGTCGCATCACATTGTTTCTCACAGGTGTACAGTGCACTGCTGAAGGCTGATTGTACTGTGGTTACAATCTGTAGAATGTACTATCTATGAGTATCCCCCTACAGAGCTCATGGGTGGGACTGTGATAAGGATATCTTTTCTGAGAAAATGATGCATTACTATTGCTGGGGGAACGTGACAGATGAAGATACTGTTCAAGAGAAAAACGCGGCATTGGAGGGGAAGAGAGTGGACGTATGTTCATGCTATAGAGAAAGGATGAGGTCTGTTTCTATAAATCCTAAGGGTGCTGCTGGGTGGCTTCCAGATTCACTACACTATATAACTAGTTTTGCTTGGGCGCAGTTATATGTATTTATAATTCAGTAGCAGATTTTCCACGTTTCAGTAGTCTTGATTTGGTTTGGCCTGGTTCCCCATTCCAGGTGTGCGTTGTGGTTGTGTGAGACTTTCTGTGTCAGCAGCTGCAGAATCATGGTTTCCTGTTGGAGAGAAAACCCCGCCAAGGCCAAACAGACGTCTGGTTCACAGAAGACTCCAAGCTAACCATAAACTTTAATTTGGGGTTTAATTAGGAGTCTCTGCTGTATTGAACCATAATCATTAGCCATGAACTGTTGCTCTGCTTGGGCTTTTATCAGATGAATGTCACAATGGGGTTTTAAGTGTGAAATCCTAAATCTAATTAATGTGGGAAATAAGGAAGAGAGAAACAGACATTTGTTCTGTGGTTCACCCTATTACGTTCCCTGTCGTAAATAGTTACAGCAACACACAACGGCCTGAAACTCACCTGCAGTTTCAGAATTAACCAAGCACATGGTCAGTTGAAAGCATAAATGATTTTTTTCAAAATAAGACAAAGAATAAAACCTAATCGCTTTCACCTGGTTTGGGGCATTATTTTATTGACAGTACAGACTATTGTAAATTGATCTATGCATATACTATATAAGGTATCATTACCAGGCTTGTTTTGTCAGATCCAACAGCATAGGGGTATGAGAAAGGATTATAAGTTCTGCTGTGGTTATCGTGAGATCTCCACCATTTGCCTTTCTCAAAGAGAGGATTAGTGGATTACACCACTGAGTTTACATCCTGCAAGGCCTAATCTCATACATAATTGTCTTTTCCTCAAAAAAAGTCATTTTAATGGGATTGAGCAGCATTATGAAAAATGGAAGACATATTTCTTTCTTATACAGTGTCCAAGAAACTTTCTCTGAGATCAGAGTATAGTGTTTATTAGCAGCAGTATAGTCGTCTGCATTATATCTTATATTGATTTTGTCCTGTGAAATATATAGAATATAGAATATAACATAGTCTGTAATAAACTGTTTAACCTTTTAATCATTTAACTGTGCTTTTTTTGTGCAATAATTTGTAGTTAATGAGGTGTGTTTCAGAGAGGAAACAAGACCCCACAACTTACATGCTAACGTGCTAACAATGAC